TGTTTCCTGACGAACCTTACCAAACCCAAACCAAACGAGGAGAGAAGAGAACGGAAAAAAAAGTGTAACAAGAAGCAAACGAAATTTAAGAAAAAAAACCCAAACGTAAATGGACAAAATTAGAGAGCAACCCAATTTAGAGCGGGGACAGTGATTTAAAGGGGAAGAGTGTTTTGGGACCCTAGGGCAAAAGGGATCAGAGGAAGGATCGCTTAAAAAAGGGTCGGGAGCAGTAGGTCTCAGAGAGGTCGGAACAAATGTAACAAAACATATTGTATGGGATTACTTCTCGTTACTGTGAGGGAGAGTTATAGAAGGGGGTTCTTGTTACTGTGAGGGAGAGATATAGAAGGTGGGTCTTGTTACTGTGAAGGAGAGATATAGAAGGTGGGTCTTGTTACTGTGAAGGAGAGATATAAAAAGGGGGGGGGTCTTGTTACTGGAGGGGAGTATAGAAGGTGGGTCTTGTTACTGTGAGGGAGAGATATAGAAGGGGGGTCTTGTTACTGTGAGGGAGAGATATAGAAGGTGGGTCTTGTTACTGTGAGGGAGAGATATAGAAGGTGGGTCTTGTTACTGGGGGGAGGAAAAAAGGGGGGGCCCCCCCCAAAGATTAGAAGGGGGTCTTGTTATGTGAGGGGAGATATAAAAGGGGGTCTTTTACTGTGAGGGAGAGATATAAAAGGGGGGTTTGTTACTGTGGGGGAGAATATAGAAGGGGGGTTTGTTACTGTGAGGGAGAGAAATAGAAGGGGGGGTCTTGTTCTGTGGGGGAGAGATAAGAAGGGGGGTCTTTTTTACTGTGGGGAGAGGTATAGAGGGGGTTTGTTACTGTGAGGGAGATATAGAAGGTGGGTTTTTGTTACTGTAAAGGAGAGATATAAAAGGGGGTTTGTTACTGTGAAGGAGAGATATAGAAGGGGGTTTGTTATGTGGGGAGAGTTTGAAGGGGGGTCTTTTATGTAAAAGGAGGATAGAAGGGGGTCTTGTTACTGTGAGGGAGAGATAGAAGGGGGTTTGTTCTGTGGGGGGAAATGGGGGGTTTTTACGGAAGGGGAGGGTTTGACCGGAGGGGGAATAAAAGGTGGGTTTGTTCTGTAAAGGGAGAGATATAGAAGGGGGTTTTGTTATGTGGGGGAGAGATATGAGGGGGGTCTTGTTTTGTAAGGAGAGATTAAAAAGGAAATGGGTGTTGTTACTGTGAAGGAGGTTAGAAGGGGGTTGTTACCGTAAGGGGGAGATATAGAAGGGGGGTCTTGTTTGTGAAGGGGGAGTATAGGGGAGGGTGTTGTTACTGTGAGGGGGGAAATAGAAGGGGGGTCTTGTTCGTGAAGGAGAGTATAAAAGGGGGTTTGTTATGTACGGGGAGATATAAAAAGGGGGGTGTTGTTTTGTAAAGGGAGGATGGAAGGGGGGTCTTGTACTGTGAAGGGGATATAGAAGGGGGTTTGTTTTGTGGGGGAGATATAAAAGGGGGTCTTGTTATTGAAGGGGAGATATAAAAATGGGGTATTTTACTGAAAGGGAGAGAAAAAAAGGGGGGTCTTGTTACTGTCCGGGAGGATATAGAAGGGGGGGTGTTGTTACTGTGAAGGGAGAAGAAGGGGGGTCTTTTTTACGGGAAAGGGAGGATAAAAGGGGGGGGTTTGTTACTGTAAAGGGAAAGATATAGAAGGGGGTTTGTTTATTGTAAGGGAGGAATAAAGGGGGTTTACTGAAAGGAAGAGATATAGAAGGGGGGTTCTTGTTACTGTACGGGGGAGATTAGAAGGTGGGTTTGTAGAAAGGGGAGTATAGAAGGGGGGTCTTGTTTGTTTGTGGGGGTTAAAAACTTGTTTTTCAGGTTATCTGTGAGGGTTTTGATGCACAGCTGGGAGATTTCACATTGTCCTGAAGATGTTTGTGATGCCCCGGGTGGTTTACCATAGCACCATGTGGTGTGTGTGTAATACAACTACATATATATATATTATATATTTTTATTATATTATATATTTATTATTTTATATATTTATATTTTGTTCTGACGGTACTTGTTGGCCCCACAATAAATCCCCGGGGGTTTAACCCCCGGGGGTTTCTGAGGGCATTTGGGGGTCACAATGGTGCTGGGGTCTGGGAAAATGAGGGGAGGTGCCAGCCTTTCCCTCGCTGGCCAGGGATCCTGTTTTCACTCCCCCCAGGGTGCTGCAACAAGAACGTCACACAAATATCAACATTTAACTTCAGAACTTTATGATAGCTGTTCTTTGAAGGGTTCTAATGGAACCCTAAAACCTGTAATGTGACCCACTGAACCCAGGTTTTACGGTCCCTTCATGAAACGTGTTGATGAATGCGGTAGACTAATGAATGAAAGTAGACACAGAGTATAGACTCACGTGTATAAGGCTGGTGTCTGGGATGGGCGAGGGTGGTGGGCGGTGGGCAGGTGACACCGGTACGACACGGGCGTGTGTGGGGTGGTCTCAGACCCGGGTTTGACACGGGGTGGGCCCGCCCTGTGACCCCTGCACAGCCCCACTTGGGTTTCGAACCCTTCACCACCGTTGCTGGCACTGTAATGATAATCAAAATCATGAGGTGGTTAAAGACGAGCGCGGGGGGCGTTTGCCCCCCCAAAACCCTCCCCAGGTTACTCGGGTATTTATCCAAGGAATGGAGCTATGCCTGTAACCCTTTCGGCTTTGCGCTTGCATAATATTTACACCCACATTGCCCTTAGACGGGAATCTCCACTGCCCCAAAACCGTTCCTCGCTGTGATTTTCCACCCCGTTCCAAACCCCTATAAAAGTTTTTGGTACTACTATACTTTTTTCATTCCCTTCTTTGCCTCCTTTGATAACGTTTTTTGACTCCCATTTCCCAAGCACCCCCTCACCTTTTTTTCCCCCATCAATTCTAGATTACCTATCCTTTAAATCCATCCGCTGACACGTAACTTCCCAGTTCTGAAAACATTCATTCTTCCAATTCCTCCCCCCAATTTGTATCCAATTTTTTTTTCTAAATCTTTGATACCCCCTTACCTTTCTCTTTTCTATGTTTCCCTTTAACTTTCTACCCTTTACACATTCCAACTCATCCATAACCCTTTTCAATTTTTCTTAGAATTTTCCCTAAGCCCGTTTCTAGCAAAAAAATAAATGTGTCAATTCCCCTTTTTTTATTTGATTCCCCATAAATTTAATCCCCCTCTCCCGAACCCCTAGCATTTACTTCTTTTTTCAACCCCATCTATAAAATATTAAAAACATGGTGACATTTCTCATCCCTGTCTAAGGGCTACTTTTATGGGAAGTATTCTCCTCTCTTCTACAACCCCCAAACCCGAGCCTCACTATCCCCATAAAAACTCTTTACGCATTTAGAAATTACCACCTATTCCATTATTGCAACATCTGCCATTGGGCCCCATCCCCTATATTGCCTTTTTTTAAACCATTAATGCAAATAAAATTTCCCTACCTTTGAATACTGTCACATTTTCATGCTTCATTAAACCTTGATCTAAAATCCCCCCCCCACTAAAACCTCCTTGTCATCCGCAATCCTACATTCTGTCTTACCCCTAATTCTTTCAAAAATAACCCCCACCCTACCTTCCTGGGAATTTTAATTTTATATATTAATATATATATTTTTATATATATATATATTTATATATTATTTATTATTATAATATATATATGTCGTGGCGAATAGGCAGAAATTGCCTTTTTGGTTTTTAAAAAGCAACGTTCATCTTGCCCTATAGGACAAGCGAAAATTGTGTATGCAATAATTTCGCCAAAAACACTCTGAACCTAACGAAAAAAATGTATTTTACGTGTTTGTTTAGTATTAAATTATTGTAAAAAAACTAAAAAATTTTTTTAGTTGGGGTTTGGCTAAAATAAAATTTTTCTTGCTATAAAAAGGGGTTAGGTAAGTTTTCTAGATTTTTTGTTGCAAAATTATAATTTTTCATCGCATTATTTAAAACAATAATTTTTTAAAAGTATAAGAAAAATTTCAGAAAGGACTTAATTTTTTAAAAAAGTTTTTCAATTGACCAGTTTTACATATTCGGCAACCCCAATATATATATATATATATAAATATATATATTATATATATATATTATATTTATATATATTTTATATATATATATATTATATATAATATATTATATAACCACACACGGTGGAATTTTTAAAACAGAATTTAAAATGTATCTCCCCGGTATTTATAGTATTCTTATTGTGGTGTTCGGTGTTGTGTTTAATTAACCAAGTAACCCGCTTAGGGGACCTGGGAAACTACAGCTTACCCGGGACCAAATACCCCTCGTACCAGCGGGGGGCAGTCGTAGTGTTACAAAGGCTGACGGGGGTGGTGGTCGTGGCAAGGCACAGTAATGGTCAGCACCGGACACTGTTTTATGTTCCGTGGCTCCCCGAGTACATTCACGTGCTGGTACCCCCTACCCCACGACCTGAACACGACCCCCCCTCTCCTGTCTGCCGTGTGGGGCCCCCAAAAATCCAGGTAAGTTTGCTGAGAGTTTAATAGCAGGAAAGGGTAGATAAAAATTACCATCGTTTTTTTTCCCCCGTCAAAGAAAAAACCCCTTCCCCCGTTAAAGTCAATTTGGCTAAAACTATCATTTAATCACTGGTCAATCTACAAAAGCGTCCAGCTTGGTCCTACCCACTTGTAACACAAATCAAAATTTATTGAAATCTGGGATTAGGGGATTACGTAATGTGGTCAAGTACTCCCGTAAAGGTTTCTCAGCTACGCAACTTTAAAAGTTTTTCCCTTTCCGCAGGCTGAGCTACTGTACTTGGAAAAATTTCCTCTTCCAGCAGGCTGCAGCAATGTCACTTGGAATTTTCCATTTCCAGCAGACTGCAGCTTTCTGTCACTTGGGAAAAATTTCCCTCTTTCCCGCAGAGCTGCAGCTACTGTCACTTGGAACTTTCCATCTTCCAGCAGAGCTGCAGCTACTGTCACTTGGAACTTTCCATCTTCCAGCAGAGCTGCAGTACTGTCATTGGGAAATTTCCATCTTCCAGCAGAGCTGCAGCTACTGTCACTTGGAACTTTCCATCTTCCAGCAGAGCTGCAGCTACTGTCACTTGGAACTTTCCATCTTCCAGCAGAGCTGCAGCTACTGTCACTTGGGAACTTTCCTCTTTTCCCGCAGAGCTGCGTACTGTCACTTGGAACTTTCCATCTTCCAGCAGAGCTGCAGCTACTGTCACTTGGAACTTTCCATCTTCCAGCAGAGCTGCAGCTACTGTCACTTGGAACTTTCCATCTTCCAGCAGTGCAGCTACTTTCACTTGGCTTTCCATTTCCAGCAGATGCAGCTACTGTCCTTGGAATTTTCCCTTTCCCGCGAGCTGCGCTACTGTCACTTGGAATTTCCATCTTCCAGCAGAGCTGCAGCTACTGTCACTTGGAACTTTCCATCTTCCAGCAGAGCTGCAGCTACTGTCACTTGGAACTTTCCATCTTCCAGCAGAGCTGCAGCTACTGTCACTTGGAACTTTCCACTTCCCCCCGGAGGCTGCAGTACTGTCCTTGGAATTTTCCCTCTTCCGCAGAGCTGGGTAACTGTCACTTGGAACTTTTCCCTCTTCCGCGAGTGCAGCTCTGCACTTGGAACTTTCCATCTTTCCGCAGAGTGCAGTACTGTCATTGGAACTTTTCCTTTTCCAGCAGAGCGCAGCCCACGTCATTGGAACTTTCCATCTTCCGCAGAGCTCAGCTACTGTCATTGGAATTTTCCCCTTCTCGAAACTAGTACTGTCATTTTGGGAAATTTCCATCTTTTCCCGCGAGCTGCAGGGTACTGTCACTTGGAACTTTTCCATTTAGCAGAGCTGCAGCTACTTCACTTGGAATTTCCATCTTCCGCAGAGCTGCAGCTACTGTAATTGGAACTTTCCCTCTTCAGCAGAGTGCAGTTTTCTGTCACTTGGAACTTTCCCTCTTCCCGCGAGCTGCAGTACTGTCACTTGGGAAATTTCCCTTTCCGCAGAGTGCGCTACTGTCACTTGGGAACTTTCCTCTTCACAGGCTGCGCTACGTCACTTTGGGCTTTCCATCTTTTCCCGAGAGCTTTTCAGCTACTGTCAATTGGAACTTTCCATCTTCAGCAGAGCTGAGTACTGTCAATTGGAATTTCCATTTCCAGCAGGCTGCAGCTACTGTCATTGGAAATTTCCATCTTCCGAAGGTGCCTACTGTCATTGGAACTTTCCATTTCCAGCGAGCTGCAGCTACTGTCCTTGGAACTTTTCCCTTTCCGCAGAGCTGCAGCTACTGTCACTTTTGGAATTTTCCCTCTTCCAGCAGAGCTGCAGCTACTGTCATTGGAACTTTCCATCTTCCGCAGGCGGTAGTACTTTGGGAAATTTCATCTTCAGCAGGCTGCAGCTACTGTCACTTGGAACTTTCATTTCCGCAGAGCTGCAGCTACTGTCACTTTGGAACTTTTCCATCTTCGCAGGCTGCGTACCCGTCACTTGGGAAATTTCCATCTTCCAGCAGAGCTTTTCAGCTATGTCCTTGGAACTTTCCATCTTTCCGCAGAGCTGCAGTACTGTCACTTTGGAAATTTCCCTCTTTCCGCCCGAGCTGCAGCTACTTTTCACTTGGAACTTTCCATCTTTTCCAGCGGCTGCACTACTGTCACTTGGAACTTTCCATCTTCCCCAGAGCTGCAGTATGTCACTTGGACCTTTCCATCTTCCGCAAAGGGTGCGTACTGTCACTTGGAAAATTTCCATTTCCGCGAGCTGCAGTACTTCATTGGAAAATTTCCATCTTAGCAGAGCTGCAGCTACTTTCACTTGGGAAATTTCCCTTTCCAGCAGAGTGCAGCTACTGTCCTTGGAACTTCCAAACTTCCGCGAGCTGAGCTACTGTCACTTGGGAAATTTTCCCCCAATCTTTTCCCGCAGAGCTTTCAGCTACTGTCACTTGGAAATTTTCCCTCTTCCAGAGAGCTGCCTCTGTCACTTGGAAATTTCCAAACTTCCAGAGAGCTGCAGCTACTGTCACTTGGAACTTTCCATCTTCCAGCAGAGCTGCAGCTACTGTCACTTGGAACTTTCCATCTTCCAGCAGAGCTGCAGCTACTGTTCCTTGCAACTTTCATCTTCCAGCAGACTGCGCTACTGTCACTTGGAAAATTTCCATCTTCCAGCAGAGCTGCAGCTACTGTCACTTGAATTTCATCTTCCCGCGAGTGCATTACTATCCCTGGGACTACCATCTCTCAGGCTAGCCTATCCCGTCTCCAAGCTCTGTACTTCCCCCTTTGGGGTTCAGCGCTCCCCACCACGAGGTGGAGGTGTGGGGATCAGAGATGGTGGGGTGAGGAAGTAGGGGGTTCCGTACTTCAACCAGGAAATTACTAACCCCCCACTCTCCAGCGTTTTTCTTCCCCTCCCCCCTCAGCATTTTTGAAGGCGGACATTTCCCCCCCTCCCCTAACTTCCCCTCTAAAGCCCCAAACACCTAACCCTTCCCCTACCCCCCACCATCACACTCGCCTTTTTATTCCACAGAAAAACTCTTTTCTCTTCCTTTTTTGCAAAAGGGTTTTCCTGTAATCGTATTTGCTTGAATCTCCTCCTCTTTTTTGCAATTTTCAAGTCCCGTGTGTTGATTGCAACCGACTGGCCCAGGCTATCATTCAACTCACCCCGGTGATTCTTTTGCAATTGTTTTATTTTTTGCGTCTTTCACACACACACACACACACACACACAAAACACACCACACACGTATTTACAATATAATTGTCTTCTTTTGTATGAAGTTGGTTTAAATGAGTCATGGTTGTGGCAAGAGTTATACTGCGTCACATTAATTTGGGGTTTTTTCGTCTTAATACAAAAAGAAAACAGTGTAGGTGTCCCGTAATATGTTTCCCCCATCCCATCTTACTTTCCCAAACATAACAATGGTTATCCTGGTCTCTAATAAGCAGAAGTTTAAAAATTTGGCTGGGTCCCCTTTACACTGCTTTCAGGGCAAGAAACATGGGCTCCGCTCCCGAGTTCGCTATTTATGATTCCCAACTAAACAAACAATTTCTGGCATATTTCCAGGGAATTTCTCGATTTTGAAACCACTGGCGCAACACTGTCTAATAGAGAATTTTTCCCCAAAACGTAATTGTGTTACGGCCCTCATTCCACTGCTTTTCTAATATAGGGGTTTTTGCAAGACAATCCTGTCCCCTCTCTGTACAAAGGCTGTATCATGTGGAAATATATTTTGAGGTATCTTGGGGGTGGAACAGCGCCCTCGCGCATTACAACTGGACACAGACAACTCACACAGGAAGGAGGTGACCCTGCCCTGAGAACACTGCCCGTTATGCCCATTTATTATTACACTGTTTAATTGGGAAAAAACAACAGCACACATATCCCAAATTTCCCCCCAAAACTCCTAGTTTTAACGTCCTTCCTTTCCCTCCGATTTTTAAAATAAACTAAACTACTGCTTATGATGCTAAGTTTACCTATCACAGAGCCTAAACCTCCCTTATCAATGTTTGACGGAGTGAATATCTACGCCTAAACTCTGACAGTATACAAGTCTCTATACTGTTGCTTCAACTTCACATTGTTCCAGAATATGGAGGAGCAGAACTCTTCTCCAGGCTGAGGGACTGACCACCGTCTTCAAAGGTGATGGACTGATTATATCGTCTTTATATTTCTACTACTGCTTATTTTTCTGTATCTGACTGAAGGCGCCTCCCCTCACCCCTCACAACATCCCTTCCTACAACGTAAGCAAACACCTTGTGTAGTTACCTCGTGGGAGAGACGTCAAAGGTGACTTACCTCGTGGGACAGGCGTGATCATTACAGTTGAGGATGACGGTAATAGGTCTGTCAGCAGGCTGACAGTGTTCGTCATCTACTCGTCTTCCCGTCTCTGTCTCAACACACACTGCTGACAGCATTTGGTATCCTGTACATACATAAGGTCAATCACTGTTGGCACTGTTTTAATACTGACAACAACAGCATCACTGCCAGCACTTAATAAATAATAATAATGATATAGTTACCTCCACCACAGGTGGCAGAACAGGCACTGTTGGCACGTGTCTCCCAGCTGTGTGAGGGTTGCTGACAGCTGGCACCATCACCACCACACACACCACACTGGTCTACCTTCTTCTCAGATCCAAGCTTGTGGTCACAACCAACTCTCTGTAAATACAACCAAACTCACTGTAAATACAACCAAACTCACTGTAAATACAACCCAAACTCACTGTAAATACAACCAGTCACTGTAAACAGTAACTAAACCACCAAATTCACTGTAAAGACACAGTCACTGTGGCGGTACATTGTTCCTGTGTCAGTGGAAGTTGCTTATAATAAACTAGCTAAAAATAGCTCGCTCTCTCTCTCTCTCTCTCTCTCTCTCTCTCTCTCTATTTTCACTGCAAAAAAAAGGGGTGATGGAACAAAGGCTCTTAGCTTAGTCGTCACCATAAGCGCTAAACCCTTAAGGGTCATAACAGCACCGCATCTTGACTCGGTATCCCGTCTTTCTCCTTCACCTCCTGCCTGACCCCTTGCGGTTTTAGCGCTCAGCATCGATTATAACGGCAATTTTCCTTCACCGGACACCCACCCAAGATGTGCCTTGACTCATACATGTCGCTCAATGTTTCCCTCTACAGAAAAATATCTCGCTTCCTCTCGTGGTGTCGAACCGGGAAAAATGACTCAGCTTTTAGGGAAAAATTCTTATTTTTAATTGGATTTATACATTTTTTCCCTAAGAAAGCGAACGATACAAATGGCCCTCGTCACCTGACCATTAATAATAATAATCATAATAATAATAATAATGATTTTAGAACTACTGGACAAACTTTAATTACTCCGTAAAACATTTGTGGATTTTACTAAAAGCTGAACTAAGCTGTGTATCTGGGACCTGCCTGAAGAAGGTATTTATGCTCCTGGAGGAGTGCCAAGGTTCCTGAAGGAGTGGCAAGGCTCCTGAAGGGGTGCCAAGACTCCTGAAGGAGTGGCAAGGCTCCTGAAGGAGTGCCAAGACTCCTGAAGGAGTGCCAAGACTCCTGAAGGAGTGGGAAGGCTCCTGAAGGAGTGCCAAGGTTCCTTCCTGTAGTACCAAGGCTCCTGAAGTAGCTACCAGGACTCGTGAAGAAGGTACCAAGGCTCCTGAAGGAATGTCAAGGCTCCTGAAGTAGCTACCAAGGCTCCTGAAGGAGGTACCCTAGTAACAAGAGATACCGAGAAAACAGTTCC